GCACAGGGGGTGCCACAGAGAAACTGGAAAGTGACCAAATCTCTGCTCAGACAGAAACTGCTGTGTGAGGTAGAAAGCTGAGGGTGATACCTGCTGCCAATGAGAAGCACAGTGGAAGGACAGGACGGATGCCACCTGCAGCACAGACATTCACACCAGGGGCACAGTGCAGAATTACGATTCCAAAGCGATTATAAGGTTTTATTTAACAGTGCTGTGTGGGACGATTCAACTGCTTCAAGCTCAAACAAGCTGCAAGTGATTGATTAATCCGTACATCTCAGTGACCTCAAAACCTGATGTCTTCGAAAAAATAAACAGAACAGACCATCTCAAATAGCAGATAATCAATCTACAGAACTTAATCCAGCAGGCAGTCCTGTGGCCAAATTCTGTGCTGGCAGCAGAGTCTTTTTATGACCATTAGGAATATTCCCAGTTACAGAGCTACCACAACTTGGGCACAAAATACACAGACCCACCTGGGAGAACAGAAAATAAAGAAGCAACTTACCCTCCCCTCATCCAACTCCATTCTCACTTTAGAAGTGAAACTACAAGTTTAAATGCCAGGAAAAAACGAGGGAAAAAAATCACCTGGTATTTTCCAGGCAAACCATCAAGATCATAGAATCACATAATGTCCCAAGTTGTAAGGCATCCACAAGGACCATCAACCAACCAACCTGATGCTCCAGGAAGGACAACCCAAATGCAGATGGTCTTTAAGCTGCAGCAGCTCGCGACCAGGCCCACAGCCCTGGGGAGCCTGGCCACAACCACTGGTATCAGATGCAGCAAGCACAGGGAGCAGGCAGGTAGGTACAGCAAGCAGCAAGCAAAGACCAATCTCTGAGAGGGGGCCTGCTTACAGAAATAAACCTGGGGCCTGCCTACAGAAAGCTCACACCTTTCACTCCAGTAAAGCTCCACCATTTTGACAGCCAAAACACAAACTGCCATTTCACTTCTCATGGCTCTTCCCTGAACTCCCACACAAACAGTTACTTCACGTCCCCTATCGCACTACAACTGCTCATAATCAATAATCAAGATTATATCTTTCACGACATAAGCAGCTCACTTCTGCTTGGTGTCAATTACTTCCATTCCCATTGCGTCCCTTCATGTGAGAAAAATCACAGCCGGCTTTCTGACAGCCTCCTGCATGATTCCCCCAAAAGCACCCTGTATTTATTCTGAAGAGTGAAAGAAAGGAAGGTTCATGGAAACAGGCACACAAGGCTTGCAAGAGCTGCAGTGCTCCAGATCAGAGACAGGACCATCACAGTGCCAAAATACAGTTTATCACTAAAGGAAACATTTCAGAGCATATTCACAACTTCTGCATAAGCTGTTATGATTCAGCATATCCAGCTTTCTTATTGTTCAGTTGGAGAAGGCAGATGCTCTCACACATCAATCAGCAAGCACCTGCATGAGCCAGCCCTCTGCTTTTCACGACAGACATCGCTACTGCTGGCTCTGACACCTTACCAGGAGATGCTTCAGTTCATTAACGTGGACTTCATTCCTTCCATCAGCAGCTACTCCTGAACTGACCTTCATTCATGCAGTGACACCACCAACTTCCAACATGAGCTAGCCTGCAAAACACAGAAAAGAGAGCAGGATGACAACCAACACAGAGATAACACGTTTTAATATTCACGAACAAAAAAAGTAACGGCAGTACAGAAGGGCAGCTGCAGCAACACAGCAGTACATAAAGAAATGAAAACCTGGTCCAGCCCCAAGGCCCCACCTCCAGATGCCTCATTCAGCAGAGATCCATTATCTCAGCAACCACCCACTACCCAACCCGCCAGCGTTCCTGTGACCTGCCATCAGCTGACGAGACAGAAGTAAGATCACCATGATTTTCCAAGCCACGAGATGGGCCAGGACCCCACAAGAGGATTCACAATACTTTAGATGGTTCCTCATGAAGGCAGAGTGGAGAAGGACCATCGCCTCCCTTGCCCTGCTGCCCACCGCTCTTTTGTTGCAGTCCAGAATACTGTTGGCTTTCTGGGCTACCAGCACACACTGCTGACACAGGTAAAGCTTTTTGTCTCCCAGGGAAGCCCAAGAGCTTCTTGGCAGGGCTGCTGTCCAGGAGTTCTCCCACCATTTGGTAGTTGTGCTCTGGAATCCTGCCTTCAGGCATAAAAGCCAGGGAAGCGTTGCTGGTGAAGACAGTGGCACAGAAACCATGAGGTACATCAGCCCTCTCTGCTCCTGTGCTTATTAACACAACAGTAGGTCCGCACCGTCCCTGTCTACTCTTTCACTTGTAAGGAAACTCTATCAGCTGGAGCCTTCACACTCCTCTGCAAGTATCAGGTCCATGTCAGGTGAAAGCAGCCAAAGCTGACCCTGACTATCACAGCCCTGACCAGCTCCCTGTCGGCCAGTGTGAGACCCAGCTGAGCATCACCTGTGTTTCCCCCAGCAGCTGTGTGAAGAAGTTGGCTGAAATCAGTGGCCTGTTGTTCTGCTCAGCCAGAGAATGCCAGGGCAATTGCAGCTCCCATGGGCAGCTGCTCATTGATCTGCAGACAGCTTAGATTGCTGACAAAAGGCTTCTGCCTGCTCTCCTTGATCAAGCAGTTGGTAAGCAGCCTGATGAAGACCACGCAACAGTTAATGATGTTATTCTATAATAGCTCAAGTGACCAAAATGAGAGAATCTTTTCCATGGTGTACTGCACGTGAGTCATAGGCTCATTCACTTCTGGACACTTAAGGACACAGTTTGCAAAGGAATCCCTCGTTTTATCTCCATCTATCACTAGCTGTATCCAATGAAGTCCTGCAAGAAGACACAAAAGCTGGGACAGGCTTGCTGATAACAGCTGAGGACACACTGGAATGCCCATGACACAACAGCCACTGCAGTCAAGGAAGATCTAGAAAACACAGGTGTTGAAGCAGAAGGGAAAGAAATAAGCTTAGTCATGCTCCTGTGGCACACGACTCCATTTGTTTGGCTAAATTCCTTTATAGGCTGCCCTCATTATGCACAGCAGGGACAGCTTCAGCTGTCCCAGATGTGGGTATCTATTGTCAGTGCAGGTGTTGTTGGACAAAGGAATGTCTGTTGTCAGCAACTGCGAGACCCCCCCACGGGATGTGACGCGATAGGCCCTCTCCCTGCTCTATGATTGATGTGTAGCACGTGCCCTTAGGGGCGTAGACGAAGCACGTAGGTTATATAAGCTAGAGTTCACGTGTAATAAACGCCATTTGCTGTTCATCATATTGGTGTCTGCGTGCAGTCATTTGGTCCTGGCCTGGTTTTAGGTCAGTACCGTAGGAGGCAATGCAACAAATGTCCTTCCAGGCTCTGGGAGTAACAGCCTACATTTCACCAGATATTTGCATCTGAACAGCTCCTTCCTATCCTTAGTCTCCACATGTGAGCATTAGTGAGCTACCTCACAGGGAGATGTGTATGTTGTGGACATCTGACCTGAGGCAAGAGGAACTGAGGGGAGTATTGGGAGGGGGGGAGAGGATCAGAATGGGGGAATAAGGAGGAGAGGGATGAGGTGAGGGTGGGGAAGGGACCCTGGGGGTAAAAATGGAGAACTGGGGGGGAGGGGTGAGGGTGTGCCGAAAAGGAATGGGGGAAAACTGGAGTTGGGGAGGCTCGGGGTAGAGTGTGACCCTGGGGGTCAGAAAGAGGGACTGGGGGAGTTTATGGCCGAACCGTGGAGGGGAACGAGGCAGCGATGTATCCTGGATTGAGGGAGAACACACAGCGCACCTCCCCATACCGAGCAGAGGCCCTGAACACCACAGAAGCCCCACGGGGCCAACGCAGAGCGGCCCCCGCCCCTGTGCCCCCCCCCCGAACACCGACTTGTAGAAGCTGAAGCTGAGGCGGCGCTCGGAGCCCGGAGCTGCCATGCAGCGTTGGAGCAGCGCGCTGCCCCGCACCACTTCCGCACGGCCGCCTCCTTCTTTGCGGCGCAGGGTGATGACATCACACGACTCCGCGCATCTCGCCCCAGTCGACCCCACAGCTCCTCCCTCGCCCGGCCCCAACGCGCCGCTCCAGTAAGCGCCCTCAGCGCGGGCAGAAAGTCATCAACCTTTTATTCTCATTATTACTACTGAAAATCTCTGTTGTCTTTTACGAATTGCTGTGAATTTTCACTCGGCACACGCAGGTGCGTTCTGCGTTTCCTCAGTTGCTCCTCGCCTCCAATCTGACCCGGCCGAGGGCTTTCCGGGGCTCCTCCTGCTGATACAAAGAGGAGAGGCTTCTTACGCGCGTGGAAGCGCCGCGGCACATCTGCACGGCTCCCTTTGCCAGCCGCAGAACCCTGGCTTGCTCTGCTCCGCTCCCTGGGACGCCAGAACGGCGCTGCTGATGGGGGAAGGTAGCTGCACTCCTCCCTCCCGCCAGCAGTCGTGCCTCCACACCCGCAGCAGGACGGTTTCCCTCCCGTCCAGCGCTCTGTTTTTCTCCAAACTCCAAACGTCAATGGAAGTTTCCCATTGTTCTTTGCTATGAGTATTTAATTGTAATAGAGGGTTTGTGCATCTTGTTATTTTTCTTGCTTTCTGGAAACAAGAAAAGAAAAGAAATGATCTCTTGGCACTCAGCAGTGACCGCTAGCTTTGCCTTTGCTAACTACCATTTCAGCTTGTCTTGAATAAACCTGATGAGAGCAGTGGAATAATTAAACCTCCCAGAAAATTAACTGTTGTGGCAGTTTGTCTTTACATCATGCTATATAGATTGCAGTTCATTGTTTTAATGAAAAAAAAATTACTTTAAGTTCATCTGTGCCTTGGAATACTGAATGTAATTAAATGAATAAAAGTACACTATAAGATTTCATCTGGGTACACAGGAAGCATTCACTGAGCACCTTCCATCTCTTCTTTCACCTTTCATCTCAACAAATATACATGAGAAAAAGTGGGTAACAACCACAAGCACGCATGGATGAGTCAGAGCACCACATCTTTAACGAGGAGAGGATAGCCCTACCATTTAGTTTCAGTCCCACTGGATATGACAGCATCACTGCAGTGGGATCACAGACAGATTGACGTCTGTGACTGCAGTGTTTGGAGACCCCTGTGCAGGGAGATGAAGTCAGCCTAAAGTGTTCTTTCTATATGTGTACTGGTTTTGCCTCAGTTGTCGTTATTTTCCCTTCAGAAAACTCTGCTGAAGCAGTGAACTGAAGGCAGGAGTTGTCTGGGCCATGATGCCTTTGGAGGGCAGGCTTGACTTCCCTATTGGTCATTTAACTACTTCCCTCCACTGCTCTGCTGCTGTGATCAGATCACAGTGAGAGTGTCTTAGCCTGCCCTTCCTCACTTGCTTTCTGGTTCTGAGTGCCTTGGAATTGTCCTTTCTAAACATGCCTGACACTCACCTCCTTTTGCTAGCTATGGTCTGTTTCACCTTTCTTTCAGTATATTCCCTCCCTCTTGTCTTGTGAGCACTGAAAGAACATCACAGAATCACAGAATTGTAGGGGTTGGAAGGGACCTCCAGAGATCATCGAGTCCAACCCCCCTGCCAAAGCAGGTTCCCTACAGCAGGTCGCACAGGTTGGCATCCAGGCAGGTCTTGAACATCTCCAGAGAAGGAGACTCCATGACCTCCCTGGGCAGCCTGTTCCAGTGCTCCATCACCTCACCTAAAGAAGTTCTTGCACACATTTGTGCAGAACTTCCTCTGCTGCAGCTTGTGTCCGTTTCCCCTTGTCCTGTCTCCACTCACCACTGAAAAGAGCCTGGTCTTACCATTCTGCCCCCCACACCTTAGATATTTATAGACCTGGATCAGGTCCCCTCTCAGTCTTCTTTTCTCAAGGCTGAACAGACCCAGTTCACTCAGCCTTTCCTCATAGGAGAGATGCTCCAGGCCCCTCACCATCTTTGTGGCCCTCCGCTGGACTCTTTCCAAGAGATCCCTGTCTTTTTTGTACTGGAAGTGTAAATGTTAGTGCTGCATGGAAATGGAATTAGGAATGGTACATGGAAGCGGAACTGAGGGTACGAATAGTGGAATTGTGAAAAACAAAACAAGGAAGACCTAAATCAGCACAAAGTTTAAAGAAGAGCACTGGGTTAAAATATTCAAGTCTGTGATCTGCTCCAGCCAAAGCAGATCAGCGCCGGCAAGAGAATGCATCCCCCCTCTCCGCCCCCCCTCCCCCAAAAGCAAAATGCGATGTTCTTACTGCAGTAAGTGATGAGGCTGTAACCAGAAGGGAAACCACTGGCAAAAGTGAGGGGGTTTGCTTTGTTAGACGTTTACAATCTCATATAGGAAAGCAGGTAGGCGTACACAGATTGTTGTACATGCCAAATTCATCCAAACTTTGACTAGGGCATGAGTTACTAGAAGAACTGTAAACTGAAATAAAGTTTAAAGGAAAATTGGAATTTGAGGTAAAAAAGAACAGTTACTAAAGGTGCTTAGTTGAGCATTGTGGGAATTAAATGTTGTTTCTGCATTAGAATTGGATAATTTTATTTATTTATTTATTTCATGATCTCCACTATCATAGTTCTTTTTGGGAGTCCTTCTACTTCACCTGGGGAAGATCTCTGATAGTTTACATCACTGATCCTCTAGACGAACCTTCCCAGGCACGCACACTCTGTATAGAGGTGTATATATGTATATTTTGTCACACACACTGCAAGAACATCCTGCACGAGAGCAAACCAGAGAACAGCCATGGCCTGCCCGAGGAAGCGCCTGAAGAGACATCGGCAGGCCTGACATCACACAGATTGCTGTACATTCATCCAAACCTTCACTAGGGCATGATTTACTAAACAACAACGCCACGGCCCAGATACAAAGGGCTGGGCTCTCAGCTGCAGAGGGCAGCGGTGACCTTCCCACTGAAACGTGGCAGCTCTCCTAGTAAAGGAATACTCATGGCTGGACTGTGCTGCCCTTCGAGGCTCAAACAGGCTCAGAAGATCCTGAGAGGATCTGAAGTAAAATTGCACCCAAGTGACTCTTAATTTCAAGGACTCACGACTTCCCTGCGCGTGCGCAACAGACCTAAATGAAGCACGTACCAATTACCGAATTGGAAGAGTTTAGAATAGAAGCTCCGTCCAGCCGCGGTACAAACACGCCGTTTCCGCCCGGCAGCGTTCCCACACCCAACATGGCTCCTCGACGACTTCACCCGCTCCTCAGCGCCCCCCCGCCGCTCTGAACTTGCCGTGCCCTTTCTCAAAATGGCGGCTGCCAGCTTCACCCCGCGGCCACCTTGCCCGGATGACGGCCCGGTCGCGCGGTCACGTGGCGGAAGGCGAGTGCGGAGCGGTGCCGGGCGGCGCGCTGGGTTTCTCCTCCTGGCCGTGCCGTGCGATCGGCTCCCGTGCGGTCCGGGGCCTCCCGGGGACGGCGCGGCTTACGTACGGGACGGTGCCGGAGGGCCGGGATCGGCGGCAGCGGGGTGAGCGGGGCCGGTGGGCGCGGGCGGGCGGGCGGGGAGGGAGAGCTGTGGGGGAAGGAGGTGGGGGGAGCGAGAGCCGGGGGAGGGGAGAGCGAGCGTCCTCCGAGCGGCGTTCTGTTCCGCAGTTCTTGTCCTCAGCCTGATTTCTCTTTCCTTTCCCTGGCCGAATTTCGGCGCCCCGTTACGCGTCCTCCGGGGGGGGGGGGTTGGAGCTGCCGGGCAGCTGGGGGCTGTGCGGGTTCTCGTGGCGGTGATGCTGCAGCAACGCGTCCTCCGCGCTCCCTTCGCTGAGCTGTGCCGCGTGTGCTCTGTGGCTGTGCTGAGGCTGCACGAAAGACATCGCGGTTGGTGTCTGCAGACTCGTGAAGGAAATTTACACTCGCGTTCCGAAGACGGCGCTCTCTTCCGCCCCTCCCTTTTGATGTAGAAATGCGTCTATGATCGCTGTGAGCAATGTCTTGAGAAGGAACCGAGGAGCTGAGGATTTCAATTCGCGCTGCTTTTTTTCCCCCCCCGTACTCTCTTCCCCCCCATGCGCCACCATGCGGCCATTATCTGCTAATTGTGCTTTTAATGGTGATTATTTTTCTCATGATCCTAACGCTGTGAATTTCTCAGTGGTTGCTGAGACGAAGGTAGTCATAAATACAGGTTTTAGCATTATTGTATCTAGGAATAGAAAATGCCCAACAGCTAATCACATTCTGCTGCGAAAACACAAAGCATAGTCCCTTTTTAAAAAAGCAAGAGACAGAGCGCTTCCCCCCCCCAGAAAAGGAAAAGTCCCCAGATGTTTATGCTGAGTTAACATGCTGAGAATGAAGAATGGCAGCCTTGCTTCTTCCCTTCACTACTTGTTTTGGTTTGAAGTACAGAGGAAAGGATGTGTGAGCCATGCTGGAGCGCTGTGCCTGCCTGCATAGTGTGGCAGTGAGCAATGCAGAGAATTTTATAACATCTTTATAATGTCTGTTTCCTTTCTAGATGGCACTTAGTTCTCTGAGATGTGCTATGGAAATGATGAGAGCGACTTCTGAGGCTGTAAGCGGTGGCTGATGAGAGAAGCTAAAGAGAAGATCCTCAAAATTGGACTGGCTGGTAAATCCAAGCCTTGTGGTTTATATGCTCTTTGTTCTAACGAACATGTCTGACCCTTAATTACTCTGAGGGACCGATGTTTTCATGTGGCACCAGACAAGACAGGGAAGCTCTAGGACTTGGTATGCTTGCATTGATGCTTCTCTCAGCCTGTTTTTGCTTTTCTGCAGTAGCATAACATCCTAGGCAGTGGCTTCCCAATAATCCTCTCGAGTCAAATGACCTTAATGCTTAGACCTGATCACAGTCATGAATATAAATGATTTATCATGAGGCTGCATTTCTGAATTTTCACTGTGTGTGTGGGAAGGTACGTGCAATGTCCATCTCTTCTGGAGTGTTTCCCTTCCTGCTGCTGACTGTTTCAGTCAGCGTCAGTCTTGCACTCTGGTAAGGCCTGATGCTTGAGAAATGGACCTTGGAGGGGGCGGGTGGGAGCTGTGCATCCAACACGAGTTTTTGCCTTGCTGTGCTTTTACAGTAGGATATAAGTTCTGCATGTGAAGTATTTAAGTAACGTCTTGTTTTCGTGCTGTTACTGACATTCTGCATGGCCTCGTCTTGAAGTGAAATCAAGGAGAAAAGCATTGCCTGCCAAGCTGCAGAGATGATGTTAATAGCATATAACTGTGACGAGGCCAAGCGTTGTAGAGAGCTCTCGCAGCACGGCTGCTCTTTCAGTGAGGCTGCAGGCTGCGGGCCAGAGGATGAGAGAAATAAGCACCTGCCTTGAATTTTCATACAGATTATTTCCCTGAAGGGCTGATGAAAAAGTTCAGTAACGATGGTTGAAATATTTATGTATGTGCATGCGCTACTACTTTGTATATCAACAGATACTGACCTTTGTTTACTTTTTGCTTTATAGATATGGAATGAAGGGGCATTTCATAGCAAATGGATGAAGGTATGTCTGTTTTCCTTCTTAAAAGTGAAATGTGCTTCTGAAGTTCTGAAGTTGTTAGCACGTGTGCTTTGCTTGTCTGATTTTTCTCTAGAGAAGAGACCTTCATCCTGGGACTGCTTCGCTCCCTGACCTCTCATGGTAGCTGCAGGCATGAAGCACTAACAGGAACACGGGATCCTTAGACTTTTTTTTTTATCTGAAGCTTTTATTTTGAACTTCATAAGTCAGTGTATGCTAAGGAGGGTATTTTAAAGGAAGCTGCAGTTGAACTGTACGAATTCATCTTCTTACTGGCTGGAAAACAGTTAATTTTGTAAGTCAGAGATCAGAATTCCTTCTGGATTCTCAAGTGAAGTTCCAGTGGATACGATGCCCTTTAATTATTGATGTACAGCTCCAGGCATTCATTACATGGTCTGATTTACTTTTTCCATAAAGTAAGAGCTCTGTGTTTTAACTGTGCAAAAGTCAATACCTCACTTAGAACATGAATTGGAAAGAGACAGTATTTCACATCGGGTAACACTGTGCTGTCACTGTTTCCTTCCCTGCACACCCCTGTTTGGAAGCTCACTTCTCGAGTTCTGTTATGCTGAAGTGGAATCTTGATATAAGTTCTGCTATATTCATTATTCCTGTCCTTGCTGCTGTTTTGAGGCTAAGAAGGAAATGCATTTCTTCTCAAAAGAAAGCAAGGGTTAAGCTGAGCGTGAAGAAAACCGCTAATTCTTTTTTTCCTCTCCACTTATAACTTTGCGGAAATTGTGTCCCTTCTGCTTAAAATCAGTCAGTCAGCAGCTATTAGAAAAGTTCTTTTAGTTTTTGTATGCTGTACAAGGTCAGTTGTGTCATTTGTCCGTGGCAGCATCTGCAGCTATTTCATTCAGTGATCAGTTTTAGCAGAATAATACAGAAAGTGATGTACAGCAGTTAAATGTGACGTGACGTTAGGAGGGAAAAACCCTCTGTAACTTCACGAGGCTGGCACAGAGAACATTCTGCCTGCTCCTGGAAAGTGGGAGTGCTCTGCTCTGAAACACTTTATCCTCATTTATGTGTAAGGTGTGTGATGCACTTGTAGTCTATTAAACTGATCTATGGTCAGAGTGTATAGCAGGACAGGTAAGCAGGAATTTTATAAAGAAACTTCCTTAGGCATTGAGCTTTGATCACCTGCAAGAGGCTTTCTGAGAAATAGCAATTATAATGCTGGTGTTGCATAACTAATTTTTCTATGGTTGTTTTATTCCTGATTTGCCTACAATAGGCAGGACTTGGACCTCAGTGAGTTTATAGTGCATTAGGAAACGTGCATTACATACTTTAATTACATAGACACGTTTTACATACGGACTTGTATTACTCACTCTCACCACTCTGTTTTCAGAGAAACTGGTGCGATCCAGAAGCTCACTGAGGCTCTGATTACCTTTTTGTTACACTAATGTCTGGATTCTCAGTTCCCATTTAATTGTGATGGCAGTGCAGTGTTTGGGAAGCATGCAGCCAGTTGACTTGTTCTTCTCGTGCTGGGTTTTGTCACACAGTGGCCGTGTTTTGCAGAGGTAGACTACATCTGATTACTGACTTGTGGATAGAAGTGTGTACGATGTGCTCATTACCTTTGTATTATCAGCAGTCTTCATTAGAGATTGCTCTGTAATGCAAGCTTCTCTGTTCTACTGGTATTCCAAAGCAAGTGTGCTTTTCACTTTCAGTTTGGAGGAGAGGAATTACTGCAGCTGTTTGTACTTCTAGGCCTTGAGTTTTCTTTTTGTGATAAGTGCTCTTCTTAATATCTTGGGTAGGACTCTGTGTCCTGGGACAAAACCAGCGCCAAACGTCTGAGTAATTCAGCAGAACCGCAGGCTGTGGAGCTTGCAGTGCCTTCAGCGATGGAGCAGTGCAGGATGCTGGGCTCGGATCCTAAAGCAAACCCACGTGAACAGAAACATGAGCTCGTAAGTGTTGTGCACTGCTGACAGCTTTTAAAGCTGCATGTGTAAGGACTGCCTAAGGTACTGCACAGCACATCATCTGCTGCATCAGGACGAGAGAAACTGCAGCTCTCTCCTCTGTCAGTCTGAACTCAGGAATGCTGAGGTGTCAGCGTTCTTAACTGCTGTGAGGAAAATGTTGTGCAAGTTGTAGGGCATTTTTGAGTTACTTTTTCACCTTGGCCTACGCAGCTGAGTTCAGGTATGGTTCAGATTCTGAAGATCTATTCAAAAAGGGGATGTTCTTAAGAATTAGCATGAAAAACACAGGAGGAAAAGAACATAATGAAGTTAATCTAGCTGTATGTTTCTTAGGGTCTCTCTCAGGTAGTGCGTCTGCAGTTACAAAGAATGGGTGTGAGGGTTTCGTTATCTGGGGTATCTCTACAACTTTCTGAGGCTCCAGTCTAAAAAACAGACTAGCAAACAGACTTTTACTTTTTCTCCCAGCTGCTTTGGTTAGGAGGTGCAGCTGGAGGCTGTAACCCTCAGTTGCTCGTTTCATTCGATGTGCAGCTTTTTGTGGTGATGCAGGCAGAGAATGTATTGTTTTTTCTTTATTAAGTTCTCAACACTGGGAATTGGCTCAGGAAGTGCATGTGGTGTCTTTTCCTTTCCTGTGGGTTTGTTCTGTCTGTTCTGTGGGGGGGAGGATGGTGGGCTGAGGGGAAGGAGGGAGGTTGCTTGTTGGATTGTTTTCCCTTGTTTTATCTGGGAACATTCTCTTTGCGTTGCAGGGTATTTTTATTTTTAGCCAGAAAGCTGTTTGTTTCCCCACTGTGTGGTGGAGAAAATGAGGTGTAGATGGTTGTGCTAACTTGGTGTAGTGCTATGCATGTGAACAACAAAGGCAGCAAACCGGTTCTCCCAGAATGGCTGTGTGTAACTCAGCAGCTGATTGCTGTGAAGGATTCCCCTGTGCTCAGTGTGTGCATTGCCAGCACAAGAGCCTCAGGGTGGGCGCTGCGCCTGTTTGGGTAACAGGCAGGAAGTTTGCATCCCTGTATTGTCAGAGAGCTTTACTGAGTCTTTTTTTCTCCAGCTGTGCTATTTTTTTGTAAAGCATGAAAGCAGTCCTGTGGAAAGTGTGGTGAATAACTTAAAGAAAAAGAAGGCTTAATTCAATAGGAAGCAGAAAGATCTAAGAGCAAGCAAAGTTGACTGCTAGGCACGTGCAGAAATAAGCTACTGCCTGCTACAGTTATTGCTGTTTGAGTACTTTGATCTGAAGTAACTGCCGAGGTTAGTGTGCTTTCCATGTTCTTTTTTGCTGGTTTTATTTTGTCCTTAAGTAGACACTTGATACCTTTCAGTTTGAGAAAATAGCATGAAGTACCTCCGTATTCTTATCCCACCGGAGATTGGTGTCTAAGCCAGCATTTCTTTGTGGATGGGAAAAGGGAAGTACTTTGCCACGCTGGCTTCTGAAAATGTGGCTTGGCAATTACTGTGCAGTTCTTAGTAGTCTTGCACTGTCTGTGCTGTAGTCCTGCAGAGAGGTGGCTTATACAGTGCCATTAAGATGAAGGCAAATGCCTTGATTTTCATTCTTCTGCTTGTCTCTGCATATGTAACAGCATTCAAGAAAATGGCTGTCATGTCGTCTGAACAGCTCAGAGCACCTGGGCAGCTCTTCCCGTTTCCATGTTACTTCAGACTGTCCTGAGGTCACGTTCCTACTTTCCTCTTTTCTGCTCACTCACACTAAAAAACCTCAGCAAACAGCTCTACAGCTCCTGTAGTCAATTATTCCTTAGGGAGAAGCCCTTCTGTGCTTTCTCTTGCTGGTCTCTTTACTCTGTCTGCCACAGAACTGATGTTTTAAGATGTGCTTTAGTATAGTTCTGTAATCTTCTATGGGTAGAATTTGTTTTGGAAATATGGTTACTTTACGTTGGAAATAATTTTTGTATGTGACATTAATTTGCTCGGACTAGAAATCACAGATATTTTTACTAAGATGCAATTATTTTCTTCTGATCTCTGTTCCATTTCATCTCAGCACACGCAGCGTAGTTTATTCAGCCAGGCTGGTTGTACTTGTGAGTGGACGGATGCTTAAAGGAGGTGGAAGCTCTGCAGCTCTGACAGATGGCCCAGGAAACCTTACTGTCATCAAAGCTGTGGTAATGTACATCAACAGAAGGGGAATAGACAAAGGAAATGTGCTGTTACAAAGAGCCAGCTTTGGTTTATGCCGTATCTGTGAGTATCCTGTACAGTGCTTTTGTAGCTGTGTTACCGAGACCAGAAGTCTTTTTTTCTACCTAAACTCATAAATGAACTTGAATTTGCTTACATGCTGGAGGAGGAATTTGTGGGTTTTTTCTAACAGCAGTATTAAAAATACACAGAGTTTGTATAATAGCAATCATCACTGAGATAGTGGGATAAATAGTTGTGGGTTGATCCTGTGTTGCTTCTACATGTACAGGATGTTTTTCAAATGAAGATTGGCATCTGATAGATTCCAGCAATGTCTCTTCTTTCTGTTCCTTTCTTTATTCAGACACTTAATCGCTCTCAATCTGTCAGGCTTCCCCTGCCTCATTTCTGATCTTCGCCTCAGCGAGCAGCTTTCTACCTCAGAGTCTTTTGTAAGTATGCCTTGAATGCATTTGGTTGCTCTTGTAAATTGAGTTGCACTGCTTCTTGTGCATGCACGCAAATTACGACCAGATACCGAGAATTCAGAACTGCTCGCCTCCAGTGCTGGAGGTTCTGTGCCTGACAAAGTCTCAAACATCCTGCTTTTCTTCTTACCATACGACACAGTGGTACAATGAATTTGTAAGGTTGGTACCTCCCAGTCTATTTGGTTTATCCTTGGGGTTTATTCCAAGGCTGCGTGCTCTGACATGCTGCTATGGTTTGAGTGTCGGAAGTGGTCGTGACCTTTCTGCTGGCATCAGTTCCTTCCCAGGGAATAACTGCAGCTGACTGCAGTGTTGGTTTTGTTGTTCCATCCCCACAACAGATATTCTGAGAGTCTGTTTTTTTCTGTTCCTATTATTAGTATTACTGCATTATTAGGATGGTGGCTCATTGAGGTACGTAGATTGCTCTGAAAGGAATGCCTCCTATTTATTTCCACAGAAATGACAAGAGATACATAAAGTGAATTCTCAGCTCTCTCAACAAAACTCTGTTTTTTCAACATGGTCACCACCATTAACTATCCTTTTCTTTTTTTTTTTTTTTTTTTTCTTTTCCTTTCCCTCCAGTGTTGAGCCTACGTGCTGTGCTTGTTTAAAAAGAAATAATAATTAAAATAAATCCGTTTGGCTGTCTGGGTGGCTCGCCTTGCATTGCTGTTGCCACTGCTGAAGCCTCACTGTGCTCACATCCACGTGTTGGGCTTCATAAATATTCTGCAGGCATTGATGGATGTCAGTGGGTGCGATTTTTTCAGTGTGGAGGAGTTCAGGGACACCCTGTGCTCCATGAGCACTTCCATGTCAGGTGCTGTGCTGTCATTCTGGCCCTCTGCTGCCGTCTGCCGCATGGCTGCAAAATGTAACTGAATGCTGGCAGGAAGGTTCAACCTCTGCTGTCATCCCACCAGCGTCCACCTGTGATGTTGTGGGCCAGCTTTATAAAACAGGAGGCATTACTTTTGGATCAGCCTGTGTGCAATTATGAAAAACTAAGGTTTATAACGGCTGGCTGAGTAAATTGGTGGCTGCTAAAGAGATCCACAACTCTAAAATAACAGTAGTTAGACACTGATAGTTTTTAAGGTCAGTTTAGATTATGTGGCTGTGTTGGGTTATTTTTTATTTAATGTTGTGTTTCATTGCAGTATTTCCTGAAAACTCCTCAGGTGTGGCACTCTGAATCTGCACGCTGTGGTATTCTTGAGCAACTCCATCCTGTAGAGGTAAGTGGATTAGTTCTCATACTCAATTGTAAAACTGCTGTTAAGAATCGGTATTGCAAGAAAGAAGTCTTCTTTTGTTTTATAGTATGGAATTATAAAGTCAGAAGTAGAATCCTGTATGTGGAAGTAATGTAAGGTAAGTTGTACTCGTCTCTTCTGAGAGGAACTTTGGGGTCTTTGGAGTGCGTTCATAAAGTGCTGATTAGTCTGGTGATGCAGATTGTTTTGGAGGTCTCAAACACTGTAGCCTTTTAGCGTGACAAAGCAGCTCCATCTTCGGGCCCACCTTACTGCCTTTTCATCCTGTGCACTGAATTGCAATGGCATGTCAGTATCGGATCCCTCAGCACTGTGCTGAGCCTCACCTTACTCATACTCACCCATTGGACATTACTCAGCTTTAGCAATCGTGTTTCTGCTACAGAAGGGCTTGCCGGATATCTGTAGTATTGATCCGGCCCGAAGGTGACAACCTTCCAACCTGCTGGTCTCTGCCCATGTTCTCTGTCACAACATCGGATGTGCGTGCTCGCTGGATGCACTGATAAGAGATGTTTTTGAGAAGAGAACCTTGTGCTTCCCAGAGCAGTAAGACTGTGAGGATTTGGGAGGCTCTTCACAAACCTGGTTAGAGTGTGCTTTCCCAGACGGCGTGCTGTTAA